AGCCGCACGACTTGGAGCACTCGCCCCACTCCTCGATGACCCACTCGGAGGAGATGATCTCCCTGATGGCGTTGAAGGACTCTTTCTTTCTACTGGGCGCCTTCTCCAACCCAGGCTGCGGGGGCTTCTTCACGAAATAGGTGAACTTGATCTTGGGCTGCGGCAGGTCCCCCACTGTGAGAACCTGGATGGTCAGAGGCTCCTTCAGAGGGCTGAAACTGCGGATCCTCTCCAGGGCGGCGGAGGAGCCGCTGTACCTCAGCACGCTGCCCTTGTAGGTGATGTCCTGCTCCAGCGTCGACAGGGTGTAATCGCCATTGAGGACGTAGGTGCCATCTGCGGCTTTGATGGCGAGGAAGCTGCCGTCGTGCCTCGCGCCCCTGTGGTTTCGCTGCTTCACCTCGATGTTCGTCGCCCCGGCTGGAATGGTGACGACGTCGTGGTAGCCGGGTCTGCCCAAGAGAAAAGAGAAAGCATGAGTCTTCCGACCCTGCAAAAGGGAAGCAGCTGCCCAGCACAAGACTGAATTTTATTTGAAGCCAAAGCGTTAAACTCATGAGCCGCCGACCTAACTGCATTAATGGACTGAGGGATTTGCAAAGTCACATGCCACGTTATTGCTACGGCAGAGGCGTGCCCATGTGGAAGGGGCTTCCTTTCGCTGGGATCTCACTGTAAGTTATCTTCAGTCAGATGGCTCTGACAGATCAGATCTCAGTTCCAACAATAAACTGGGGCAACACCTCACTGACGTGGAAACCCAAAGCTTACACCCACAAGACATTCACCAGAACAAAATAATAGCAGCAGTTATACACTCACTTTGCTCTAACAAGCGTGCCAGACACTTTCTTGCAAGTGGATCCATTGCCACCGCAGATACCGCATTTGTCAAACTTCTTATTGGATCCTATCATACGGTCGCAGCCAGCCTTTACGCACTGTCCCTGGACGCAGACAGAGGTGGAATCGGGGCTACACGGGGTACCATCCACAACCTTTGCAGGAAAGAAGCGGTAAGGCGTTTGATTAGAAGATGCACGCTGCTTTGAAATTGTGTAATACAGACACATACAAAATATGGACAGGTGGAAGACCCGCAGCACCTGTATTTTCAAGGCTTTTGAAACCAAAAACCAAAGCAGCCCACAGATAGTTGGAGGTATGTAGTGCTACTTCATCTCACTTGCAAAAATGATGCCATGGTGGCAGGAGAAAACAACCGATTTCATTTTCTATTAACACCCCCATCAAACCCCTCCACCCACAAAACTGTTTTACTCATTTCATATAAAGAAAGAATGTTGTTTTCTAATGTCACTACAAGGTAGTCGTGTCCTTGAAGTACAGGACCAAAGTTGCTTTCAGTGGCGTTCAATGTATCTTTTATTTCTAGGAGTACTGCTCTACAAAAAACATCTGTGTCATCGCCCTGGTAGTTATTGGCTCTCAACTTCTTATGACAGTGAGTTCAAGTAGCTACGCAAGAGGAACAGTTTTCCTTCTGTTTATTTTAAGCTGTCAGCGTATCAGTAACTGGTATGAGAAAGCACCAATGTTTTGGCAAAGAGCCCCCACAGTTTTCCAAACATATCTCAGTGTAATCAAACTGGTGGAAGGAGAGGAAAGGAAACTAGGGTGGAGTGGGTAGAAGAGGCGGTACGTGTGAAATAACTGGAAGGACTGTGCCAGAATATTTAAAGCATGCTTCCACCGATCAGGCTGTACATGTAGGAAGAGGAGAAGGAAGAATCTAGCTTAAATACGAGGAAGATGTAATTTCAGATTTCTACACTCCTTGACTCTTAACTTCACATAGAGAGTTAGAGGAAATAAAAATCATATTCACGATTAGATGGAAGAGGTATAGTTTTGAAATACCTTTGGCTGTAAAACAAAGAAGTATCCTGTTCCTTTTGCTCGGCAGACCAGCTTGCATCTGTCTTTTGGAGAGACACCGGCAAACTTGGGTGTCCACTCCACTGCAGGTCCGCTTCCAAAGGGAGACTTGGAAAACTCATTGTGCTTTTCACATTGTTCCTCCCTAAAGGTTTTGCCTGCAGACAGAGGAAAGACAGGTGGACATTAGATCATCTTCTGTACATGCTCCTCCTCCACAAGATACCCTTCCTCCGCCTCAAAAATGGGAAAAAGATTACCATCGTTGTCCGGACAGTCCTCGATGTTACATGATCTGTATTGCACCCGCTTCCCTTCACAGTATTTCCCCCCGTTCCTCGGGACGGGGTTGTCGCACTCCCTGAAGGAGTACTGCACTCCGCCGCCGCAGGTCCGGGAGCACTCTCCCCATGCCCCCCAGGACCCCCAGCTCCCATGCACCGGCGTCTGGAATGACAAGCAAAAGCAGAACAAAAAAGTTAATACAGTAAAAGCAAAGCAAAACCAAACCACAAAAACCACAACCGTGCTCATTTTTACCTAAGCCACTTGTAAAAAAAAAGCTCCAGGTTTGTTTTATTAGCTATCTGCTGCCATTTATTCAAGCCCTTTTAACTGATCGCTCCCACTGAAGCATTATTTGTGCTACCCTGCAACCCAGGATATATTCTGATTTCTTTTTTAATACTTACATCATAATGCTTCTTCTCAGTTTTATTCACACACTTGCCATTCATGCACCACTTCCCTTCCCCACAACTGGTGCCGTCTGCCCAAGGGAAGTGTTTGGTTTGGCACACGAGCAGTCCTCCAGAAGTGCCAGTACACCACAGCGTCGTACACGTACTGGCTGCATCGGGGCAGTGCTTGGACTCATCTCCAAATGTAAACTGGCACTGTCTGTTGGCGTCGTACAACGTGCCAGGCAAGTCAGAAGGAAGCTGGATTGGTTTGTGGGGCTTGTCCAACAAACACTCACCTGAAAAGGAAGAAAAAAGAAAAAAAAAAAAAAAAGCAGACGATGCTGTCAGTGAGTTCGGTTTCCAAAGGGAAAAATGTATTTCCATCTCTGGAACTGCATTTGCTTTGTAACATAAGTCTTTGAGCCAATTTGTGCCACCATTTTTGTAGAACTAAGGGTCTTCTAAATTCATTTGCAGGACGTAAAAGGTTAATCCTACGCTGTAGCAGAAAGCACTCTGTTAAGAAAGAAAAAAAAAGCAAAGCAGCACAACACAAGAGCTTAAATGCCACATGAATGGAAAGCTTAATAATCTTACCATGACCGTTATCCAAAAACGTTGTAATCATGTAGGCACTGCATGGAGACCAAGGCTGGCTGCGATCCAGATTGGAAAGCATAGATGCCATCATGTGGAAATCCCGGCTTATGCCATTAATACCAGCACACTGCTTTGCATCGTCATGAGGCATGTTAAACACGTGGCCTTAAAAAAAACAAAGAAGGAAAGCGTGTGATTTTAGAAAGTCTGTCCTGTGCATTACCAATACTATATTAAATACTACTCTAGAGCTGCTCATAGCCTGGTCTTTAAGTAATAGCCTGAATCTGAGTACTGCCAAGCTTTAAGCAGATGGCACTGCATCTTCGCCCCCCTCACAGGCTTCTCACATGCTTTTTTTCTGCAACCGGTCAAGTACACAGCTCTCGCAGACAATGCCGTGCAGACCGGACTTGCTTTCCACGGTTCAACCCTGCTACATGGCAAAGCTTTGCCTCCTCCCGACTGCACCGGGGAGCGCAGGGTGCTCCGTGCCCCGCAGGGCGGGCCTGCGGTGCCGTCTGGGCAGCTCTTTGCTTTACGGCATTGAGCTGGCTTCAGTTAATCACGTGAAATCGCCTTGCAAAGTTTCAAGTACCTAGTTCGTGGGCTGTTGTAAAGGCAGCCTGTAAACCATCGTCTTCTATGATAGAGCAACTGCGGTTTAGATCACAAACTGTTCCCACATCAGCCATCCCAAGAGTATCACATGTCTTGGCACCGCAGAGGTCCTGTAAAAAAAGGCAGTTTCATTATTAATCAGATCAGAGACTTAACCTTGGCAAGAAACATCCAGCCCTGGCAGTTTGCCTTTACTTATGGAAAGAGCATAAATACTCAGCACTTCAATGGGTATGATGGCAAAAATCTGTCTTTGGAACATACGCAAGGGTTACACGTAGAAATAAAACGCGTAATTTCCATACTAAATCTGCTAAAAATACACGAGGCAGAAATACCTTGCACATGCTGTGAGTTTCACCTGAGACGGCGCAAACAGCAAAATAAACGACTAACTAAAAAGCAGTTCATTTCATTTTTAGCCTACTTTGCTGAAGCTGTGATGATGCAAGACCGCCTCTGAACACTTTTTCGGAGGTCTCCTGGCAGAGGGGGTCTCCGGGGGTAGGGAGCAATGGGCGTGGGGATGGATTTGACCTCTGCGTCCCTCACCTGCCTGGTGAAGAGGATTGCCGTGTCGTAGTGTTCGGCGTGCCGGTCACTGGGCGGGTTGTGCTGCTTCTGCCAGCTGCAGAAGTTTCTCAAAGTCAGGGCTGCGTTGGAAGAGATATCGGGTCCCTTCCGCTCCTCGTAAATGACCATGATTTTCACCACCACGAGGCTGATGGAGTTGCGGATGCTGGGGTGCTTGTACAGCTTGGCTGCCACGGAGAACAGCGTCAGGAGATAGTGCTTCAGCCCGCTGCCGTGGAACTCGGCCATGGACTGGTCGGCTACCAGCATGGTCTCCACATAGCGGGGGCTGGACACGAACCTTTTCTTCCTTCTGCTTCTCGTTTCTACATTAAAAAGAGAGAGGGAGAGGGAGGGAAAGCGCAGGTTAGCGCAACAAGAGAAACACCGCTGCAAGAGACCACCGCAAGGAACCCCAAACCCACCGATACTCAAGATTTGCACCTAAGGGATGCACCCCACGGCGCCGCGCCTGGCTCCCGCCCCCAAACTTCGGCCGCCCCCGCTGAATAACCCCCGCGTCGCC